AGATTTAAAAATAGATTTTGAGATAATCCTAAGAACATTTTGAGATAAAATTTGAAGGTCCACCTTACCTCTACACGTACGGATGCATCTCTATACAAACTGCACCCTTAAGAGAATGATAGTATGGAATGTAAAAATTATTTATAAGATGCAGTTTACATGAGGTACTAACCTTAAACAATCACACATCTCTAAACTCTATCAAAAGAAGCAGTTTATGTGCCGGAGAGTCTTACAATGGCCTAGAAGTCTATTTCCACCATTAATTATTAAATTTAAAACTCCAAAAATGATGCTCATTAAGCATATTTATAAACGCTTGAAAATATGAAGTATAGATGGTCGAAATAATATATTTCAAGATTCACTAGTTTTTCAAGGCCTGAAAACCTTTTTCATTTTTTATACCATACATTTTGAGATAAGATCATCTAGGACCCCTCTAAGTCTATTGGCCACTATTTTGCTCATAATTTTGTAAAAAATATTTCAAAGACCAATTGGTCTAAAATCCTTCATAGTACTAAGAGATTGAACTTTTGAGATCGAGAAAATAAAAGTTAAATTCACCTCTTTCAAGAATTTGCCATTTCTAAAGATATCATTGAGGGATAGTTCCTTGCGAAAAATTTCCAGCTATACTTATTAAACCCTACTCCAAAACCATTCTGTCCAGGGGCAGTCTCACTTTTCATGCTCTAGATACACTCAATCTCCAAAACAACTCTGGAAGTCTAGATTGCCGAGCCATGAAGTATTTGAAGAAATAGAAGGGAAGGCAAAAATCATAAGAGGACTGTGATTTGAAGTGCCTTTAGGAAAGAGCTCAACCTTCAACACTATAGAAAGGATAGAATTCAATCCACATTTGCTAAACCGCGGTCGAGTGGCTCTCGAAAGCAATGATTCCCTGTACTATCATTAGTCCAAGAAAACCAGCCTCTTGAAGAACTCAAATCAACCAGACCACAATGCATTAGCAGAAATTCCTTTGCAACCTCCATTCTTTTCCGACCCATCCATTAGAGAGTTAAAATCACCCAGAAGCAGCCATGGTCCCAATTGTTTGCTGTTAATATGTCGTAAGTGATTCCACAAAAGAACCCTTTTTGAGACAAAATTACTAGCATAAACCCTGTAATCTTCAGTGGGTTTCACATTATAGATATTATAATTCCAAAGTAAACAATCTTAGATTTGCCATTGTTTATTAGTGAAAATTTCGGCAGAGGAAATGCGACCTCCTCCTCATTTTCCTGTGCAAACTCGTCCATCAATGGGTAGAGGATAAGGGTCTTGTAGAATTGTAACCTAGGTGAGGAATTAGATGTGACGCCCCCCCCCCCCCCCCGTCTATGGATTATAGGGCGTGCCGGCTTGAGGGGCGAGAAAACCAAGAAACCACTAAAGCTAAGGGGAGAGTTTTCCATTCAAGAGGGGAGAGGCAAAAGAAAATGATAAAAACAAGATGAGAAAAAGAGACTGACCTTAAGTCAGGCCCCCAGGCCCGACCATTGGAATTTGTGATCAGTTCAAGATTAGGTTTGATGCGCCAACCGTTCAGGTTCCTTCGGGATTCATCGGGTTTGAAGGAATTGGTATCTGGGTGTTTTGAGGTCAGAAGAGGGTCGATATTAGGGTTAAGGATGCTTGGTTTGATGTTTGGGTCTAGAACTCCAACTTTGGATTTTACAGGTCAAGGTGAGTCTATAGTGTGACAGTGTCTCTGTCCTTGTGTGCCTATTTCGGCGTCCAAAATTGGAGGCTAGGGCCCCTCTTTATAGATAAAAGCCCCTTAAACAGTGTCACATAATTTTGATTCAATTTGGGTTGTCGATTTCCAGCACCACCAGTGGCAATGCCAAAGTCAGCACCATCAACGTTAATACTTTAGTACCATTAATCATTTTGAAGCCACGTCAACAGTGCTAATATTATCGGTGAATCATTACAACATGCGTAACATGCTTCCACTCCTCAATGAAACCATTGTTATAGTGGGCAGCTCGTAATCAGGGTCACTGATTGGCAGCATCTCCACCACTAGTGCCATCGTTGCTGTAACTGGCACCACATTTATGGTTCTTCTTCGGCCATTGTTAGCACAGAAGCAGGCATTGACACTGCAACACCTACCTTAATCGTTTCATTTTTAATAATTGGTCATTCCTAGTTACTGGAAACGTTGTTTCGCATGTGTAGGGGGCTAACTTTTCTTGGCATTGCTACCCATGACTCCGACACCACAAACACTATGCCTAATCAAATAATTGAATGCCTAATCATTCAATTTTCAATTATTTGTATTGCCTTATTTAATAAAGCTATTATTCTATTGTTTGTTGGCGTGGGTACCACCAATGCCAGCGTGAGCACCACTGACGCTACTTTCACGTGAGGCTTCGGGTCATGTTTTCCAGTGGGTCTTCTGGTCAATTGTTCAGGGCAATAATTTTGATACACTGTTGCTGATGGCAATGCCGCCCCTGATGCAGACATTGGTGCCTCCAACACTGATGCATTATGGTGTTTCTGGCTAGATTGCAGACCCGACTTTCTGCCAATGATTTGTATCTACAGTGGATGACGGAAGGCCTGTGGCATCGTTGTTCTGACTTTGGCATTGTTGGCGATAGCGCCATGGAGTAGTCCTTTTGCTTTGGTTTTGCCAGTCTTAATGCTAGTGTTAGTAGTAGTAGTACTGACGATGGGGCCTTACGCATTGCCAACCTTAACGCTGACATCGGGGAATCTATCGTTAGGTATTAGCCCCCTTGTCGCGGCGTTTGCAGCCTTGACGTCAGCTTCAGTGGTATTGATGACAGTATTGGCATCATCGCTGAGGACTGAAACATCATATTTGTAAACAAATTTCTTCGGGCCATACCTTCCAAACCGTATATTATATTTTGGTGATTCTCGAGCTGTTGGAAAGCTTGTTATTTGTACTTTTATTTAAAATTCATTTTGGGCCCAAAAGGCTGATTCTTAAAAGGTCTATGAGGCTTGGGATTTCAGGGGGCTAGTTTTAGGGTTATGGGGTCGAAATCATGTATGGATTGATTCCTGAGGTATCTGGTGATCCTAAGGCCTATGATTCAGGGGTAGCTTCAAGGTTCCTAGTTCCCTGAGTCTTCGGTTTTCTGAAATTTCCTAAGCTCGGGATGGAGTGCTTACACCCATTGCTCCCATAACCGAGTTTGTGAGTTTGGAGGATGATCATAACGGAAAGGGATTTCAAATTTCCATGCTAGTTGTGTAGAAAAGATCCTTCTATAATTCTAACTAAAAATTCTACAAAATCCACCCATCGCTTTCTACCTTTCCACAATTAAAACAAATTCGACTTTCCACTATTTCTTCTTTTGGGGTTTGCATTTTTTACATTTCACAGAGATAAAAGGAGGAAATACTGATCTCTTTGATCTTTTGGGGTTTATATTTACACTCTACATGGTTAAAAAGAGGAAACCCTAATTTCATTGAGATCTCACTTCCCTTGGATTCCTTCCAAACGGCTCATTCTAACTATCAATTCAAATTTTGAACCTACCCACTGGCATGTGAGTGTTAGAGAAGAGTGTGGCGAAAGGGGTGTGTGTTCAATTTAATAAACAATTGAAAGAATTTCAATAAACAAATGCTATTCCTCTCTCTCTCTCTCTATCAAACGGTCCTCGTTTGATTTCTCTCTCCTCTCTTTCTCTCTCTACCCAATTCTAATACTCTCTCTCTCTCTCAAATAGAACGCTCCTCCTCGGGAGCGCCTACAAAGGCTGCAAGGGACGGACAAATGTCAGATCAACGGTCTGGATCTTTCAAATGTTCTCCCCTTCCATAAACCCATTTCAAATCTCTTCTCTCTCTTCCTTGTCGTCTTCCCATCACCCTTTCTCTCTCTACCTCTGCTTCGTCTTTCAAATTTCTTCTCCTCTTCTCTCTTTCCTTTTTCTTTCTATTTCTTCTTCTTTTCTCTGCTTTCTTCTTTCTCTTTCTATTTTGTTCCTCTTCTTCTCTCCTCTCTGTCTCTCTCTCTCGCTCTCTCTATCTTTCATATGCTGACTAAGTTGCAGAAACCCATCTCAGAAAACCATTAAAATGGTCGTTTCTCCGAGTGGGTTTTCTCTCTCATCCCTTTCTCCATTACCATTCATCCCCCCAAGCTTCGTGCTATCTTTCTTTACTAATTGTTAGACAAGAAACCTGTCAAATCTGTGTTTTTTGGGTGGGTAATTTCTTTACCCACTTTCTCTCTTTGTCTCTCTAGCCTTCTTGTTTCTTTGGCGTTTTTGGAAATGGCTGGGTTTGAGGAGAGAGGCCAGCGTTCAAAGGCAGGACCTAGGGTTCCTTCTCTAACTAAGCGTGTGCCTTTGGCTTCTTGCTCTACAAAGAGGCCAGCAAATGAGAACAATGCTAAAGTGCCAGTGGTTCAACAAACACAACAAGCAAAGAGAAGAGCGGCACTGCATAATTTGACTAATCAATGCAGGGAAAACCAGGTATTTCTTCTAGTTTTTCGCATAAATTTTGATGTGGGTTTTCTTTTTATTTAGAAAAACTATTTGGGGCTCGAGAATTTGATTGATGTGATTTTGTGTCCATTATGTAAAATATTTTGGGCTTTAGGTGTTGTTTAATTGATCATTGTTGCTATTGTTGTTGATGTTGTTTTTGTGGTGTGTCATTGAACTGATTTCCACTTGGTTTTATGAGTTAATCAAAGTATTCTTTTATTTCTATTTTTAAATTTTTTGGTTGATGAAAGCTTATTTAGGAGGTTGTATTGTGCAGTAGGATTTGATATCTTTAAAACCGGGTTCTATTCTATTGCTATTTGCTTATATACTTTATGGAGTTTTCTGTTATTTGACTTTTGTACTCATTGGAATGAAATTTATTGAGGACTATCCTTTGCAGAATGAGATAAATTTATCAACGAATATCGTTTTCAGAATGAGATGCTCTCCGGTTTTTTTTCTGGTTATTTTGCCGAAGTCTGGGGTTTAACTTTGTTATGCTATTGTTGAAATGGAAGTATCTCTCACTGGGTAATAGAAAGCCGTGAAATTGAAAATTTCAATTGTGTTTACTTCATTATGTATTTGACAAGATCATTCTAGATTGAATTGGGATGTTAATCATATAATTCAGTTTGGAAGTTGTAAGTTTTAACTATGACCTTGTAAGAGTTTGCTGGTATTGTCCCATATGTGTCTTAAATTAATGGTTGGAGCTGGCACTGAATTTCATGGAAATTCTGCTGCGTTTCCATTATAATCGGTTAGGGGTCTGAAATTCTTAGAATAACTTCAACTAACATGCAACCTTAATTCTCATTTGGCAGTTTGAAATCCTGGGCATGCAGCTCTCTTGTTCTGCAACACCCCCAACCCCTCTCTCTTTCCATTTCCTCACTTATTGAAATGTCCAATTTTTAGGATGAATATTTATTGCATGTACAGAAAATTGTCTCAATAATACTCTCCCTCTCTCTGTCATACATCTTGATTGTTAAATTGTTAATTTTAGGTGGACCTTCTAAATGTTTCTTGTGAAGTAATTCAATCCTCCAGGTCTGGATTAGAATTGTGGGATTCCCTGGAATTTAACAGTATAATGTAAATGAATAATGATAGCATTCTTTTTTATGTTTGAAGTATTTTACCTGCTTTGATTTGCTTTAGTTTAGGTTCTGCTTTAGATGCTGTAGCATGTTGATTTCTCACATTCTGGTTTTGAAATTTGCTCTTTATTAGTACATATTATGTGGTGCTCACAATGATGTGTTATGCATGTATACCAAGCTTTTCATCTGATGCATCATGCTTGAACACATGAATGATATGCATGTTCATGTCTGAAGCATTCAATTTGTTATTATACTCTTATATATACATATTGGTCTAATAATGGTGAGGACCTTAAACTTTCCCACGTAAAGTTTGCCACATCTTATCATCAATCTTGAACATATTAATGGAGGAACATATTCTTCTAGGCGACCCCAAATAATTGGGATAATGCTTGGATGATGATGACCCTCATGCATACATATCCATGTGACTGTGTTATGTTTATATGCGTGTATGTTGTGTTATACCTATGCATATACATATCCATTTATGGCATGTTCCATGTGTGATTCTACATATCCGTGCATATTTCATCTATTATCCATGCATGAAATATGTATGTAATTATGAATTAAATGGTAGTATTTCTCAACTCATGTTGTTGTGATTTTGAAGGGGATGATTGAGTTGACAACCACGAAGTTGAGGAAGGCACCCATTTCACATGTCCAAGATGCAGGAACAAAGGAGAACAGAGCACCCACTTCATCTGTGCCAAAGTCATTTGGAGTGGTTGCCACTAAGGATACTCATTTATCAAGGAAAGAAGAGCCCAAGGGACCTCATTTGCCAAGGAAAGAAGAGCCTTCTTTTGGTTTTGTCGAGTTTCTTGCACCCTGCAACTCCAATGTGTCGCCAAACCGATCAGATGGAGATTCAGTTTCGATGGATGAGACAATGTCTACTTGTGATTCTTTGAAGAGCCCCGAATTTGAATATGTAGACAATGCTGAAGATTCAATTGTAGCCTTGGAGAGGAAAACATGTCAAAATCTCTACATTTCGAAGCAATCAAATGAAGGATCAGGTTTTGATATTTATTTGATTATTTTCCTTTTTACTAAAGTTATTTTGAGATTAGTTATTTAAATCTTTCTTATTGTCTGATGGTCACACAGCCATACACTAGTTTAGTTCTCTCTAATCGACAATGTGGACAACATGGAAGGCTCAAGCGATACTGTATATTTTGTACATTTATGCATGTTTATGCCAAAACTTTCTTTCTTTTCTGATTTGTTGTTTTATTTTCCCTGCAGGGCTTGTGCCTATGGATGAGGATAAGTTTTCTGACATTGATGCTGATCCCACGGATCCACAACTGTGTACTGCATATGCTTGCGATATTTATAACTACCTTCGTGAATCTGAGGTGTGTTTATCCAAGCTAATACTTGTGCCCTTATTTATTTGTATTTATGTGGACGACCTATTTATTTATGTTTACATATGAGTAAGATGTAGGCAATGCAATTCATGTGATTCTGGTAATTGGATATCCTAAGAAGCTTAATTTCAAATGTGCATAAAGTAGGATGTAGATTCTATTGTCTATTTTCTACATGGTTCTTTACATTATGCCATGTTCATTCTTGAACAAGTTTGTATAATGTGAAAGGACATTTTGTGATCTCCTAGATGCCTCCAAACCTGCCATTCATTTAGGTATTTTTATTCTCCATCTATGATGACTATTGTGCTTTCTGTTTCTTTTGGCGCTAACCATTATTCTTCCCACATATCCATGTCTTTCAAATGATAACTTAAATACTATGACTTTGAGAACACACTGACTGACTGACCCTCTCATTAGGTACAGGATCCCAAGTGTGATTCTCATGTGGGACTTGCAGGTCATTTTGCATAGCATGCCTCAAACTCAGCTCCTTGAGATTTTTTAATTATTAAATGCTTCTTCACTAGTTGGTTCGTCTAATATCTGAGTGAAGAAATTGACATCTAGACTTTGAGCTTCTGAGGTCTAACTCAAATTTGAACCTATAAACTTCCCTCATTATAATACCCAATTGTTCTATTTCTTGCTTGTTTTCTCAGTGTTGACGTAATATCATTCCTTTTCTACTACTCAGTTCTTGTTAAATCCTTCACCAGTTAAGGTTGTGTCCTTATGTCTTGCAACATTTTTCCTAAATTTCACCGTTAAAGTGGATATTTTATCATCTAGTTGTATTAAGCTTTTTTATTTTATAACATTGTACTAAAGACTCTTTGAGTGCTGTTCTTATTGTCATTACCCTTTTGTTTAGTATGTCCTGACGATTTTTCTATGGTATTGGTAGACCAAAAAGAGGCCTGCTGTAGATTTCATGGAGGGAATTCAAAAGGACATTACTGCAAGCATGCGTGCCATACTTATTGACTGGCTTGTGGAGGTAATAAAAGTATTTTCTCATCTGTTTTAACACGCTAATGTTTGATAAAATTGTCAGGTAGAAGTGAGAGAAAAATGTGTAGTATTCTCTTAAATATCAAAACAGAGAAACAGTTTCTCAAGATTGTCTTTGGTTGCAGGTTGCGGAGGAGTACAGGCTTGTGCCTGATACTCTGTATTTGGCTGTTAATTTCATCGATCGTTACCTTTCAGACAATGTGGTCCACAGGCAACGGTTGCAGTTGCTTGGTGTTGCCTGCATGCTTATCGCAGCGTAAGACTGAACTCTTAATATTCCATTGGAAATTTCAAACCACCTAAGGGCGAGTTGAGTGGCCACCTAGGGCTATTTGTCTTACTACAGTCTAAAATAAGGGGAAAACAAGTTTATTTGTCTCTTATTTTATCAAAATACCACTGTTAGGTAGTGTTTTGAACAAATGTGGGTTTCAGAAAGGCACAGAGACAAATGCTTAGGATAATTTTTCCCCTCAACTGGGGAGAAGGTATAGTAGAATTATCATTTATTGGTTAATACAAACATATGCCCCAGAACTGTCAAATGTTTATCGGCTAAGTTATTTTAAGGTTTGGGATCCTCTTTAAGGATACCAGACTAGTTGTAACTAGTTGTCCGCATTGAATGTCCTATGGTATCTCCCCCCACCCCCTTTTCTCTCCAAAATCTTTCCCATTATTATGACTTGATCATTCTGTGACTGCTAATGTTACAGACTGAGATATCTTTCTAGGAAATGTGAGGAGAATGTTGGATGATAAGCTTGTGATCTTTTTTTGGTTAATAAAAAGCTATGATGGATAATAAAATTGTTTGTATATCTTTTTATAAAATATCAGGAGACATTGTCAATGACAGGAATTGGTATTTTTGCAGTAAATATGAGGAGATTTGTGCTCCAAATGTTGAGGAGTTTTGCTACATCACCGACAATACATATTTACGAGATGAGGTTGGTTTGTTTGCCTATAACTTGGAAAACTTTCTACCATGTAGATCACTAGTTTCATTAAAATTTAACATTTATGTTAAATATATTAATAATTTATTTTTTACTTTTGCAGGTATTGCAGATGGAATCTGCTGTTTTGCAGCATCTGCATTTTGAACTAACCACTCCAACTGCTAAAAGTTTCTTGAGGTAATGCTTCTTTCTTAAATTCTAGATTTAAAGTACATACATATTATTTTGGCATGGTGGTGATTTAGTATGTGCTCTTGTCGGTTTTAAAGGAGGTTTTTTAAAGCTGCTCAAGTATCGAATGAGGTACATTTTACTTCTGTGTATTCTTTTTTCATCATTTTGTGAAGAAAAATCTTTCAGTATTCGATTTATGAGTGTAGTTTTGCAGGTTCCATGGTTGCAGCTTGAGTTCCTTGCCAATTATCTTGCAGAATTGTCTCTTCTTGAATACAGTTCCCTCTGTTACTTTCCATCTCTAATAGCTGCCTCTGCTATTTTCCTTGCCAAGTTCATGCTTTATCCTTCAAAGAGACCTTGGGTACGTGTGATTATTGATCAATATATTTTGTTAGTTGTTCATTTAGGGTACTAACTCTCTCTCTCTCACAATATATTTTGTTAGTTGTTCATTTAGGGTATTATCTCTCTCTCTCTCTCTCTCTCCTAACTTAATTGGGTGAATAATTCCTATTTAACCTTCTACACGCGCCACCATCCTAGATTCATGCGACTAGATTTCTAATTAGTTTAAAGACAGACCAAGAAAATCCTTGTTTCTTGAACAAGGCAACCATTTAAGGAAGGAGACCTGCTTTCCTAGAAGTAATAGAGCTGTTTCTAAGATTTTCACAAATTAAAAGCACAGGCACTTCAAATTTACAGCAAATCTCTTGAAGATTAGTATTTTAAAGTGGTTTGCTTTGCTTAAAAATGACTCAAAAGCTTATGAATTTCTCACTTGTTTGAGTTTGTATGGACCAGAACGCTACCTTGAGACATTACACACTTTACCGACCATCAGATCTTCGCAACTGTGTTAAAGCTTTGGAAGTCTTACACAGCAACAGTCAAAGCAGCAATACCAACTTGCCCGCAATAAGAGAGAAGTACAGCCAACACAAGGTAAACTTGCCACGTTTCTTTGCATGGTATACTGTGATCCATATGTCACAATGACCCTTTATTGGACAGCAATGACCCATATGATTACATATTTAATGTCGTCATATAAACCATATGATTCTGTCAATTTCTTAATTGAAAAGCATCCCATACTCCAATCGACTATGGTGTATGGTACTCCAAGGCTACATCCAACATCCTTTCCCTCTGGCTGATAGTTGAGAGTGAGAGACATCGATAATGAATCTCCAACTGTTCATCAAGTCTTGGAGTCCCTGCCATGCCCAATACATTGAACTATTGGAGTATGGTATGGTCGATGATTAACCGATGTGGGTTACACAAGGAAATTACTGAATTCTAGTTAATCTCCAACATAGGTCAATTGAAAAGAATGATGGACGTAGCCTTGAAATCCACCATATACCATACCTAAGTCCATTCGACCAGGTATGGCTGGAGATTAACTGAACTGTGCCTCCAAAGGGAGGTTCAATGGGCTATATAATGAATTTCCAACCATTCATCAGTGAGAATGGAAGGTGGATATTTCCTTGGAGTGCTTTATGCAATAGTCCATTGTTTATGTTATGCCTTCCCTTTTTTCCATATGATAGACTTTGCTGATGATCTTTTATGTATCCAAAGAAACAGAAATTGCTGATAACTTTGTCATTTTTGTGATACTAATTTCCCTTTCTTTTCCTTTTTCAGTATAAATGTGTAGCCAAGTATCCATGTCCTCCTGCAATTCCAGCTGAATTCTTCCAAGATTAAGCCATCAAATCAAAAGCGACACCAACTTCTACTAATCCTTTGTTAGATTGATGGAATATATATAAGAACCAAATGTTATTTCTCTAATTTTTCTGCAGTTCCTTTTGTTAATATCTTCTTGTATCCCAATTTTTCCTTTTTTCCTTTTTTACTGCAACTGTGATCAAGTGGGCTTTATGATGAGATAGCTGACTCAGCTGTTTTTTGTATGAGAATTGGAATGGTTGTATGCACGAGTAGTAGAAAGGTAGATTTTTGTTAGGAACGGGCTTGATCTTGAGTAGTTAGCAGCTGATATTGAGAGTGCTACATCTCAAGTTCGATTCCTCCCACTGAACTACCCAAAAAAAAGTGGAATTTTGTCTAGTGGTAATGAGATTATCTTTAGCTCTTTGTTTTCTTGTTTTCCTTTCACAGATTGAGATTCTGTTTTGAACATAAGTTGCATGTCATGCGTCTCACTCAGATCAGGGATAAACAAAGTGAGAAATAAAAGTGAAACATTCAAGATAATTTAATCAATAATAAAGACCTTTTTCATGAAATATTCCTGAGACCCTAAATTTAAGATAAATGAAAAACTTTATCTGGGCGGTCGAGGATACAAAATTTAGAAACAAAAAATGAATTTTAATTGAATGTGCACTAAAAAAGGGAGAAAAATGAGTTTATCATTTCTGTAAGCATAGTCAATCCATTTGGTTGATGGTGGATCTAGGCCTTCAAGAGATCAATCAGCAAAAAAAAAGAACGATGATATTGTTCGAATCAAATATATTGCATCAAATTTCATCCCTAGAAATTCCCCTTCATAAAATTTGTTAATAAAATTAGGGCAATTTATGAAAATGCACCTAACTTCGTTTATGTGTATTTTTATGGGTCTTTTAAAAGGGATTATCTATTAAGAAACCATTTATCTTTTGTACAAGATCACAGTTGTTATTGTCTCTTAAAGTTCAACAAGGGTAGTTATAAGAGTGTCATTAAATAGACATTTCCAAACAAAAATTGCCGAACTTCATGACTCACTTTAAACCTTCCAATTTGACAGTCGGAATGGTTGTGACCTCTTTATTATAAAGATAAATGGTCTCTTTGTAGATAATCCCATTTTAAAATTAAAGTAAAATACATCAATAAAATGTTAATTAGTGAATCTCCCGTGTGCATTTTTTATAAATTTCCTGTAAAATTATTATGATTTCCCATCTAAATTGGAGAAATTATATCTCCAAATTTTGAACTTGGTTACATCTCCATCTCCTAAAAATATTATTAGATTTTGTTTTATCCAAAATGTAGTAGCCTGGATTTGTGGGATGGATTGTTCATCCCACAAATCAGCCTAGAGATAGAAAAATAAGAGAGAGAAAAAAAAAGATATTTTCATCATAAATAAAACTGAAAAGCACCCCCTAGGATCAATAACAAAAAAAAATGTTGTGGTAATGGCTGAGAGAGACTTTGCAACTGGGGCATTACTAGGAGAACATCCAATCCAAAGGGTTAATAATTCCCAATAAGAAAATATGAAGAAGGGGAATAAGTTCGGGGAATTGGATCGGGACCGATAAATCCTAGAACCGGTTCGATCGCTGGTTTCATAGATGGGATAGTGTGGACAATGAAATACAATCAGCTTGCCTCGATGAAATTGTACTCTCTCTGAAAAATGAAGGCAATAGCTCAAGTAGATGCATTTTGGCAACAGTGTGATTTTCAACCCACCATATCGGACTGGTGTTTACAAGATCGAAGTAGCTTCTAGGGCTATCTGCTTTTATCATCAAATCTAAATATGGTAGAGGTCGAAATCTACTATTGACTGTATTTGTCCAACTGTGCTTGTGCCGATCCTTTATCACTTTAATGGCCCCATAATATTGGATTTTTCGACCTAGTATAGGTTGGAATTTTAAGTGTTTTTTTATTGGAAAAAGTTTGTATAAGGTTGCAACCTTAAAATTATAGATGCACCTCAAAAAAAAAACCCTCTAATTGAATAAAAAAAAAAAAAATTGAATACGAGAAATAGTGCATATTACAACACATTATTTAGACCGTCTATTTTCAAGATTTTCATATGTTTATAGATCTACTTGATTTTAACCATTTTTGAAGTTTAAAATTTTATAATTAGATATGAAAATAGATTTTGAGATGATCTTAAGAATTTTTTACGCCAAATTACATGATAAAATTTGGAGGTACACCTTAATTGAATTGTTTAAAGTTGCAACCTTATAGAAAGCACGCCCTTTTTTTATTTTGGCTTATTTTTTATTAGTTTTGAGAAATTTACCTGTACACCATAGGTAAATATTATAATTACAAAAATGGAAAAATTTTATATTGCAACCTTAAAATATAAAATTGCAAATGCACTTCAAAACTCCACCAAAAAAAGGTTGTTTTAATAAAAATATAAAAAAAAGTATCCGTGAAAAATAAATTGACCAAAATACGCCCAAAATTTTTCGGGGGTATTTTGGTTAATTTTTTTCATGTAAAATATTTTTTTTATAATTTTCAAAGATTCCCCAATTTTTGATATGGATTTTAAAAAAAGTCATTTTTTTTACATTAAAAAAACCAAGTCACTCCGAATTTTCATATTCCAAAGTCAATTGCCTTTGGATATTGAAAATCTAGATTTCAAAATTTAAAAATCTGAAGTCATGACATCGCATTTTCAATTTCCCAATCATCATAAAATTTTCTTTTGGTTTTTTTTTTTTTGAAGGGGGGGAGGGGGGGGGGGGTGTTTGTAGAATCCCAATATGACTTAAGATTTTGAAAATCTTTAGTTTCTGACTTCATATTTTCAATATCTAAAGTTATCAACAGTCGTTGTAACTTCGGATTTTTAGTATCCGGGCTGAGGGCAAAGTTGGTATAAAGAAATTGACAACAAAAGGGATACCCATGCAATATATATAAAATAGGAAAAATTATGAAAACCATCCCTTGACTCAACTTTCTTTACATTCTTCCCCCCACCCACTTTTTTATCAAACTTTTACACCAGAATCTATACCCATGCAATTTTTTCAAAAAATATATATTCCAGATTCCTTGACAATAGGGGATCTGATTCACCCGGTTACAACCAGAACTCCCTCATCACTGACTATGTCTCCTAGTAACACCGCCCTTCCTCAGCTCAACCACATAGATCAAGCCACCATTGCTTATCTAAAGAAGCAAGCTCAAGAATTCCTTGGTCAACTAGAAATCATTAGAAAAGGAAAGACCACGGTAGAGGAGGTCCCTTTGAAATTTACAGCCTCGAAACCATTGTTGGGGTTCGTTTCAGAGACTTAAAATCTTAAGGTGCTGCCAAAATGGGGCCTCTATAGTCACCAAGCTCATCAAATCATGAGGATGATGAATTAAGTGTTCATAGGATACTTCGATGGCAGTTAGATATTTTTTGAAAAAATTGCCCAGACATGTATAGATTCTTATATTGAACTTGCTTCTGACATGTCCATGAATAGTTCGGCTAAATGCTTGAATGGTTAAGAGTTTGGTTGAATTCCAATTTCTTGTGTTTAAATTTGACTCATGATAAGATGATTAGTACAAGATTTATTTGTTTTTGGGCTAAAATTTCCTCGTCATCTTTTCCCTCTTTAGACTGTGAAAAAGACCAAAATACCATTGAGAGAAGAATGACCAGAGTACCTCTGAGTGCAAACTCTACTTTTCGGGGGTAATCCTGAGTGATTAGTCCTGCCTCTTATTTTTATTTCCCTCATTTTTGTTCCTGGAATCCAATTTTGTATCCTAGAGATTCACCTTTAAAGACCCGAACTGATCTGGGGGAGTCTGACTTGGGTGATATTGGTGGTGCCGCCCAAGCGACACTGCCGCCCCCAAGTCAATCTGAGTGAAAAAAGAAAAAAGAAAAAAAATATGTTAGGTTGGGTTGGGCGACACAAGCTGTGTCGCTCGGGCGACGTAGGTACTGTCGCCCAAAACGTTTCTCTTATATGGGGCGTGCTCCTCTCCTTTCCTCCTCTCTCTCATTTGTGTTTTTTTTTTTAAATTCCCTTTTTAGAGAAGTGGAGTGATGTTCTCTCTTTCTCCTTCTTGATATTTTTTTTAAATTTTTTAATCTCAATCTTTTCTTTCCATCTCTTTTAATTATCATTCCAAATTGAGTTGGAATCACTCCATCTTTTTCAAACTTGTCCATTCCCGACCCTTCTCTTTCTTTAACTTTCCCCATAAAAAGTGCTTCAAAATATAATAAGTAGGTGACTTTGGCGCGATGAAATCATATGAATTTCGTCCGAAATTTTAAAATTTTTGCTTGTATCGTGAAATTCATAAGAAAATGCAATTGTCATGTTTTTCTCTTTTGATACAAAATCTATTTGGATGCTAGTTTTTTTTCAAAAATTGCTAACTTTGATATGTTTGTTTGAATGTCTTAATGAATATTGGATTGTTTTTTTTTTGAGCGGTTTTGAAAGTGGCATGCCACATATTTAGGCTCAAACAAAAAACATTGATTTTTTTTCCCAATTTTCGAAGTAGATGATGATTTGTGAAGCTTTTATAGGATACTGCGATAGTGGTTAGATATTTTTTAAAAAAATTGCCCATACTTCTATAGATTCTTCAATTGAAATTGCTTCTGACATGTTTGAATAAAAGATATTTTCGGTTAAATGTTTGAATGGTTGAGAGTTGGTTGTATTCCAATTTCGTGTGTTTAAAATAGACTCATTATAGGATGAATAGTACAATGTTTATTCGTTTTTCATCTTTTCTTTCTTTAGATTGTGAAAAAGACCAAACTACCCCCTTGAGCAGAATGACCAGGGTACCTCTCAGCGTAAACTCCACTTTTCAGGGGTAATCCTGAGTGATTAATACTGCCCTTTATTTTTAGCTTCATCTTTTTTGTTCCTAGAATCCAACTTTTTATCTTAGACATTCATCGGAAAAGACCCGGACTGCTCCCGAGGTGTCTGATGTGGGCGACACTATTGGTGCCATGCAGGCGACACTAGTAGTGCCGCCTAGGTCAGTCTAGGCAAAAAAACAAAAAAAAAGTGGAGCGATGTCCTCTCGTTCTCCCTCTTGATTTTTCTTCTTTTTTAAAAAAACCTTTTTAATCTCAATCCTTTATTTACATCTATTTTAATTATCATTCCTACTCTCTCTCTCTCACTCTACAAATTGAGTAGGAGTCACTCCATCTTTTCAAACTTGTCCATTCACAACCCTTATCTTTCTTTAACTTTCCTCATTAAAACTCTATTTTGTTCCAAATTTTGATTTAGGGCACCTCGGTAGTTGAACATGGAAGGTAAGGAGTGTTTATGGACACTCGGGTCAAGTCACGTTTCAAATCAAAGGGCCAAGAGAAGGTACCAGTTCTTGCAATCTCTTTTCAATAAATGCTTCAAAATATAACAAGGGGATGACTTTGAAGGGATGAAATCATATGAATTTTGGTTCAAATTTTAAAAAATTTGCTTGAATCGCGAAATTCACATAAGAAACTGCTATTGTCATGTTTTTTCTTTTGATAGAAAATCTAATTAGATGCTAGTTTTTTTGCTTCAAAATTTGCTTAGACATAACTTTGATATGTTTGCTTAAATGTCTTTAATGAATATTGGATTGTTTTCTTTTTTGGGCATTTGTAAGTAGCATGCCACTTATTTTGGCTCAGTAAAAAAATAGTGATTTCTTTCCCGCAGTCTTCGAAGCATATGTTGCAAAGCTTTCATAGGATACTTCGATGGTGGTTAGATATGTTTTAAAAAAATTGCCCAGACATGTATAGATTATTCTATTGAAATTGCTTCTGACATGTTTATGAATAGTTCGGTTAAATGCTTGAGTGTTGGTTTGAATTCCAATTTTTAATGTTTAAAATGGGTCATGATAAGATTATTAGTACAAGGTTTATTCGTTTTTTGGCCAAAAATTCCGTCGTCATCTTCTCTCTTTAGACTGTAAAAAAGAGCAAAATACCCATGAGCCCAAGATGATCAGAGTACCTCTGAGTGCAAATTCTACTTTTCAGGGGTAATCCTGAGTGATTAGTACTGCCTTTTATTTTTAGTTCCATCGTTTTTGTTCCTGAAATCCAATTTTTTATCATAGAGATTAACCTGAAATACCATGCACTGATCCGGGGGTATCTGTCTTGGGCGACACTAGTGGTGCCACCCGGGCGACACTAGTGGTGCCACCCGGGCGACACTGGTGGTGCTGCCTGGGCATCACTGGTAGTGCTTCCTAGGACATTCTGGGCAAAAAAAAAAAAAAAAGTTTGGTTGGGTTGGGCGAGACAAGATGTGTTGCTCGGGCGACAGAGGTAGTGTCGCTCAAATAGTTTCTCTTATATGTGGTGTGCCTCTCTCCTTTCCCCCTCTCTCTCATTTTTTTTTTTTTAATTCCGTTCTTAGAGAAGTGGAGTATTGTTCTCTCTTTTTCCCTCTTGATTTTTCTTCTTTTTTAAATTTTGTAATCTCAATCATTTCTTTCCATCTCTTTTAATTCTCATTCCTACTATCTCTCTTTCTACAAATTGAGTTGGAGTCACTCCATATTTTTCAACCTTTTCCGTTCCGAACCTTTCTCTTTCTTTAACTTTCTTCATCAAAACTCTATTTTGTTCTTAAATTTGGTGTAGGGTACCTCGGTAGTTGAAGTTGGAAGGTAAGGAGTGTCAATGGATCCTCTAGTCGAGTCACGTTTCAAAATCAAAGGGCCAAGAGAAGGTATGAGTTTTTGCCTTCTCTTTTCAATAAATGCTTCAAAACATAAGATGAAATTATATGAATTTTGGTCCAAATTTTAAAAATTTCGCTTGAATCATGAAATTTACATAAAAAACTACAATTGTCATGCTTTCTCATTTGATAGCAAATCTATTTAGATGCTAGCCTTTTTGCTTCGAAAATTACTCGGACCAGACTTTGAAATGGTTGCTTAAATGTCTGAGTGAATATTGGATTGTTTTCCTTTTTGGGCGGTTTTGTAAGTGGCGTGCCACTTGTTTTGGCTCAACAAAAAATATTGATTTCTTTCCCCAATTTTCAAAGAAGATGATGGTTTGCGAAGCTTTCATAGGATACTTCAATGGTGGTTAGATATTTTTTGAGAAAATTGCCCAGACATGTATATATTCTTCTATTGAAATTGTTTCTGATATGTTTATGAACAGTTCGGTTAAACGCTTCAATGGTTGAGAGTTGGGTTGAATTCCAATTTATTGTGTTTAAAATTGACTCATGATAAGATGATTAGTACAAGGTTTATTCATTTTTGGGCCAAAAATTTCCTCGTCATCTTTTCTCTCTTTAAACTGTAAAAAAGACCAAAATACCCCTAAAAGCAGAATGACCAGAGTACCTCTGAGTGTAAAGTCTACTTTCCAAGGGTAATCCTGAGTGATTAGTACTGCCCCTTATTTTTAGTTCTCTTGTTTTTGCTCCTAGACTCCAATTTTTTATCATAGAGATTCAACCTGAAAAGACCCGGATTGATTCAAGGGTGTCTAACTTGAGCAACACTTGTGGTGTCGCCCGGGCGACACTGGTGGTGCCGCCAAGGTCATTCTGGGCGGAAAAAAAAAAAAAGTTTGGTTGTGTTGGGAAAAACAGGCTGTCTCGCCCAAAAAGTTTTGCTTATATGGGACGTGCCCCTCTCCTTTCCCCTCTCTCTCATTTGGTTTTTTTTTAATTACCTTCTCAGAGAAGTGGAATGTCTTCTCTTTCTCCCTCTTGATTTTTCTTCTTTTTTGAAAAATTTTTTTAATCTCAATCCTTTGTTTCCATCTCTTTTAATTCTCATTCTTACTCTCTCTCTCTCTACAAATTGAGTTGGAGTCACTCCATCTTTTTCAAACTTCCATTCACAACCCTACTCTTTCTCTAACTTTCCTCATAAAAACTCTATTTTGTTCCAAATATTGGTTTAGGGTACCTCGGTAGTTGAAGATGGAAGGTGAGGAGCGTCAATGGACGCTCGGGTCGGGTCACGTTTCAAAATCAAAGGGCCAAGAGAAGGTATGAGTTCTTGTCTTCTGTTTTCAATAAATGCTTCAAAACATAACAAGATAGTGACTTTGGCAGAATGAAATCATATGAATTTTTGTCCAAATTTTAAAACTTTTTCTTGAATCATGAAATTTACATTAAAAACTGTAATTGTCATGTTTTCTCTTTTGATAGAAAATCTATTTAGATGCTAGTTTTTTTGCTTCAAAAATTGCTCGGACATGACTTTGATCTATTTGCATAAATGTCTTTATGAATATGGGATTGTTTTCCTTTTTGGGCGGTTTTGAAAGTGGCTTGCCACTTATTTTGGATCAGTAAAAAAATATTGATTTCTTTCTCCAATTTTCGAAGTAGATGATGGTTTGCGAAGCTTTTATAGGTGGTTAGATATTTTTGGAAAAAAATTGCCTAGACTTGTATAGATTCTTCTATTGAAATTGCTTGTGCCCATGTTTATGAATAGTTCGGTTAAATGCTTGAATCATAGAGAATTGGGTTGAATTCCAATTTTTTGCATTTAAAATGGACTTATGATAAGATAATGAGTACAAGGTTTATTCAATTTTTGTCCAAAAATTTCCTCGTCATCTTTCTCTCTTTAGAATGTAAAAAAAGACCAAAATGGCCCTGAGAGCAGAATGACCAGAGTACCTCTGAGTGCAAATTCTACTTTTCGAGGGTAATCCTGAGTGATTAGTACTGCCCCTTATTTTTAGTCCCCCATTTTTACTCCTGGAATCCAATTTTTTATCATAGAGATTCACCTGAAATGACCCGGACTGATCCAGGGGTGTCTGAATTGGGTGACACTGGTGGTGCCTCCCAGGCGACACTGGTGGTGCCTCCCAGGCGACACTGGTGGTGCCTCCTGGGCGACACTAGTGGTGCCTCCTGGGCGACACTGGTGGTGCCTCCCGGGTGACACTAGTGGTGCCGCCCAAGCAACACCTCCTGGGCAACACTGGTGGTGCCTCCCGGGTGACACTAGTGGTGCCGCCCAAGCAACACTGGTGGTGCTACCCATGTTAGTCTGGGCTGAAAAAAAAGGGTGTGCCCCTCTCGTTTCTCTCTTTGTTATTTTTTTTAATTCCCTTCTTAGAGTAGTGGAGTGATGTCCTCTCTTTCTCCCTATTGTTTTTTTGTTTTTAATCTCAATCTTCTCTTTCAATCTTTTTTAATTTCATTCCTACTCTATCTCTCTCTACAAAATGAGTTGGAGTCGCTACATCTTTTTCAAACTTCTTTGTTCCCAACCATTCTCTTTCTTTAGCTTTCCTCATCAAGACTCTATTTCGTTCCATAATGTCGGATTTTAGGGGTTTTGAAAAGTTTTTGTTGGTTTCCCCGTTTCTCCAGTCCGTTGTATGCAAGAGTGTGTAAAGAAGTATGCAAGTGAAAAGAAAATAGGAAACAGGTAAACACACAATGCAAGAAAGAAATATGAGCACTTGGCACAAATTGTGCCAAGTGAGTTGTGCTTTGAGACCGACTGCAAGCATAGTTTTGGTGTGGGGGTAAGCAACCCCCAAGAAAATGTACATTTATGTAAAGTGGAGCCAGGTACAGCCTGTGCCTGGTTGGGTGCAGCCCGAGTCGAGGGTGACTCGATCAGAACAGATCGAAGAGGGTGCAAGCAACCCTCAAAATAATTTTGTTTTAGGTTGCTTGCATATATATATATATATATATATATATATATATATATTCTTTTTTTCTTGTTTTTTTATGAAACAGGGTTAAACCATGCATGATAAATCAGGGAAATCATGCTTTCTTACAAAATTAATTAAAATAAAATGAAATACGGTAAGCACAGATAAGAAAGACCTGCCCCGAGCAAAATATTTTTTTTTTTGTATTTTTAAAAATTTTATTTTGACCTCAAAATTGGTGAGCATCAAGAGAAAAGGTCATGGAACAAGGCTGTGGGATTCCGTGAGTTATCCGGGACCTCTGATTCTGGGTGACACAAGTAGTGTCACTTGGGCGACATAGGGAGTTTCTCCTGTGTGACACAGCTAGTGTGCGACACAAGTAGAATTGCATGGGCGACCAAGAGTGTCTTCTGGGCAACACAGGGAGTGTAGCCCCAAACAGATAGGGTTTCGCAACCGCAGAAATCTTGGGTCCTGGTTACAGCCGAACTTGGGACCATTTTGGACCAAAACTCTGTGAAAAACAGTAAACAAAAATACGTATTTCGAAACTTGGATCAAGCTCGAACTACCCCCACGATGGGCGCCAAACTATTTACAGTGCAGATCGAGATGATCTCTAGATGAGATTAGATCAGATTCGAACCACAAACTGATTTAAAAAAGTATGTGATAGAGAGTGAGACAATCAAATTCTGATCCGGGGTTAGATCTCCTCAGAAGTGAGCAGATCTACTTTCAGATCAATGGCATGGTCAGCATTGATCCGAAATACGAAATACAACATAAAATATAATAAAACTAATTTAATTCTAATAAAATAAACAAAAATGAAAAGAAACACAACAAAGAATAAAAACGTACTAGACTAAGCCAGTTGGTCCGAGCTTCGATGCATCGCCCATATCAGTATTGGCTGATATCAGTTTGTGTCATGCGTCCTCTTTGTTTCTCTTCACATTTTGACCAAGCCTTGGCTTAGTTGAATAGATCTCTTAATCTAAGGGCTGCAAGTGGCCTAAAGCTAAGATTTTCCTAGGTGTAGGTTTTTCTTTAGGTCTAACAATCTCTAAGTTTTCTTTGGGCACACCAGCTAATAAGGTTTCAAGAGTTTAACCTAAATGATTCTGAAATGACCTTTTTATAAGCTGAAAATCGTCTGAAATGAGTAACAAAACATAACCAGAAGATTTCCCAACCTGGACTGCCGTTTTGGTGGTCCAAAGCTTGGGCGACACTGGTAGTGTCACCAAGACCAAATTGGTCCAAGTTCATTGAACCTGGCCAAAAATGATTAGAGGGAATTGCAATGCGAAAACTGCCAATTTGGGGCAGTCGGAGCTGTGGTGTCACCCAGACTAAATCTGCTCGAAATTGGCAATTCAAGTATGGTATGATTTTGGGGCTATCGAGATGCTGTTTGCTAAAAATCAGTCGATTTGGACGACACCACCAGTGTCGCTCAGACCAAATCTACTCAAAATCGATCGATTCCTGTCTAGGCTGATTTTGGAGCTGTCAGGATGTTGTCTGCCAAAAATCAGCCAATGTGGGTCAGTTTGGGTTGGGCAACTTAGTGATGTCGCTTGGCAACACTGTATACCAAACCAAATCTGCCCAAAATCACTAAATTCCAATTTTGGGGGGATTTAAGGGCTCTTGTGATGTTGCCTACCAAATTTTGGATAAAAACGAGATGTTTTGCTATTTTAATGATTTTTTTTACTAAAACAAGGTATTCTGTAAGATTATGGAGCACAGGGCAAGCAGTATAGACTATGGTGGTCTATGGTCTAGGGATTTACTATGATAGTGTGGTTCTAAGGGTTCAGGAATATCACATAATTTGCCAGTTTTAAAAATAGTGTGTCTACACGTCTCTCTTTTCTCTCTTCCTCGTTCTCCCTCCAGGACCGGCAGTCACTGTCAGTCCGTCTCTTCCCCTTTGCTTTCTCTCTTTCTCTCTTCTCTCACTTTTCCTGTCTCCGTCCCGGACCAACAGTGAGGGTCAGTCTGTCTCTCTCTTGTCTTTCTCTCTTCTTCTTCTCTTGTCTAGACTGGTAGTTGCTGCCGGTCTGTTTCTTTTCTCCCTTCCCCCTCGTTCCCTTTCTTTTTCCCTCGTTTGGATCCGTTTCCTCTCTCTCTCTCTCTCTCTCTCTCTCTCTCTCTCTCTCTCTCTCTCTCTCTCTCTCTCTCTCTCTCTCTCTCGTCGTCTCGTCGTCTCTCTCTCTCTCTCTCTCTCTCTCTCTCTCGTCGTCGTCGTCGTCGTCTCGTCGTCGTCTCGTCTCGTCTCTCTCT